TCCTCCAGCTCAATTTCAGACTAATACACTGTGAGCAACAGTTCCTTTAGCTGAATAAGATATTGGAGTCCAATATAAATTGTGTACACTGTACACAAATACTTGCATGTACACACACTTCAATTTGCAAGGAATACAAGTTAAGCCCTAAACATAGATTTAATATTGTAAATCAACAGAAGAAGGGGATAAATGAAAAACTATTAATGGATTAGACCCTAACTATAAATTTGGCCTAATGGGAATAGAAATATTTTTGTTTTTTGATTAACTACATGCACAGACATACAGAGGTCTCTTTTTGTTGAATTTAAACTTTCCATTGCCCAGTTATTAGCCCCAATATAACAGTGTTATGGGACTTAGGTAAAGCTCAGTGAGATGTGTAGAAAGATGCCCAACACCCTCAAGGGAATTTGGATCAGGACTTTGTGCAGAGTGGTCCTAGCAGAGGACAATGCTGAAATCTCTCTCTTTAGAACTGAACTACTTTTTTAGGCTAGGTAAAGACAGGGCAGAATTGATCTAAGTTGCACAGTTTTCTGTAAACAGCATAGTTTAGGGGCACAGACAGAAGTGACAATTTTCACCCAATACAGCCATAGAAAGCAGTTGATAGATGTAACCAAACACAAGCACACAGCTGCAAACCACTTCAAAAATGGCCAATTGGGTGAAAATCTGAACCCTCATTGCATGAGGGCAGTGGTGACAGCACCGGTGTACCCTGCCGGGCCGCGCTCCCTGTTTAGCTGGCAGGCAGGGGGGCAGGCGGGAGCACCAGTGCCCCCACTGTGAGTGCCAGCTGGGGAGCAAGGCCACCAGCAAAAGCAACCACGCTGCTTTTTGGTGAGCGAGATTGGCCACCAGGGGACAACCCCCCCACCCCGACTCAAGAGGCACAACTCACCCATGCACGAGGGGTCAGATGAACACATTACAAACAGAGCATCTTCTGTAACTTCTGTCTGTGCTGCTTGCCAGCCTTGAGCTGTTTTCAGAATAGGAGGGGGAGAAAGGGAGCAGAAGGAGTTTGGTCTGGGGGTGGAAAGGCTCCAGTACACCCACTCCACCCTTCCATGCCAGCTGGGGAACCCCTGGATCCAGCTTCCTCATCTCCCTTTCCCCCCTCCCATTCTGGACCAGGGACAGACTGGGAGAGAGGAGACCCATTGCTATGGGAACTTGGCTGCAGGCTAGAGCCAGCAGCTAGATTCCCCTCCCCCTGGAACCAACAGTGAACTTCTGTTTGGTTTTGGGGATCACTGCAACTCCGAACACTTCCTGCACAGCGTTCTCAGTTACAGTAGGGAGCTGCACCTTAGATCAGTAGCAAACAGAACATACATTCACCCTTCGGTGGGGTGGAGGGCAAATCTTAGACTGGTTTCTGCCATTTCTAAATCAGTCTGCGTGCACCGAACTTGTTATGGGTTACAGGTTTCTGATCACTTATACTGGTAAAAAGTGTAATGTCTATCCCTGGCCTTAGGGAATAGAGGCGTTGGTGGTTGAGAGACAGTGAAATTCTTTATTTATTTTTTAAATCCGTAACTATAAAAAAGGGAAACAAATCAAATTGTATACAGAACTGCCGGTCCATACATAGACTAACTGCTGATTGAGATTTACATTAAGCAGAAAGTTTAAAATGCCAGAGGAGAGTAAGACCGGGGGTGACAAAATATAGCCATCTTACATTTCTTTAGCTCCATTCATCCCAGGAGGTACCACAGCACTTCACAGACTTGCTCACTGCTATACAAAAACCACCTCATTCACCTCTGCATGCAACCACTGCTGGAGCAAAGCATAGGGGCCATTTAACAGCACACAGGGGCATTCCACAACGCTTTTGCAAAAGAAGTAGTTAATACTTTTAGTTAAGCTAAAAAGTCCCATACCGCTTAGGTAGGCAGGCTTGGGTTTGCCTAGGACTTTGGAGGCAGTATTATTATTGCTGTAAACATTGTCCTAGGATTTTTAGTAGCTTTGGCTGTCATATGCAAGATAACACTTCCAACAGGATGGAGTCTTTTGCCACTATACCAGGGTCTCGACTCACTGCTGCTTGGGGAAGTGAGGGCAAACAGCATGCCATGTACGTTGTTATCACCACCTACCTGAGCCATATGATTCTTAGGAGTCTCCCATGGCAAAGGCTACTGCTAGTCAGGTGTATGAACCATCTTTTCAGGGTGATAACACTAAAATTGGGCAAGGAGACTGTGTCCAACCTTGCTAAATTAAGGCAGGTTTTTATGGCCTGGGCTCCATTTCATCTAAACTGCAAGATTTCTTGGGTAAAATGTTTGAGCACCATCTCAGAGAGACAGACTAGCATTGCTGTACCATAGGAAAAGGATTAGGTCTGTGCAAAGCGGCTAGTATTCGCTTTGGATTCAGATGCGGCCGATTCGTGGGACAGCGATTCGATTCAGTGATTCGAATCACTGTCCTGATTTGATTCGGCCAAATCTGATTTGGAGCCTCAACAGCAGCCGAATCTCCGAATCAGCCAGGCCAGGCCCATCCCCCGCCCCTCTCCCAGCCCGGCAATGGCTGCCCCAGCTCCCAGCACTTGGGGAAAAAAAGGCCCTGGCTCAGTAGGCGCTGCACGAGCCCACCCCACCCTGCTCCCTTCATGGGTGCCCCACACAGGCCAGTTCCAGCCCTTTAAGGAAAAAAAAAACAACCTGAAGAAACCCCGAGACTCCCCGCTCCTGCCAGCAGGGGGCAATCCCCACTGCCCCCCGCCACATGGGGGGCTCTGCACAAGCCCCTGAAGCCCCAAGACTGCACCAGGAGCGGAGAGTCTGGGGGCTTGTCTCGGCTTTTTTTTTCTTAAAGGGCCACAGCCCTGGCAGGCGGGGCACCCATGGGGGAGCTCATGTAGAGCTCCCCATACAGTGTGGGGCAGTGGGGATTGCTCCCCACTCAGCAGCACCCGGTGAGCACCAGGGCTTTTTTTTCTTTAAAGTACTGAGCTGGCGTGGGC